TTTTAATACTTAGCATATATTGTATACAATCTTTTTAAAGAAATTTTTTAGCAGAAAATAGGAAAGATTTATCTTAACATGAAAAATAAAGATTTTTGCAAAACTGCCCGAATATGATCTTTTAAGCGTCCTTGGGACGTTGCCGCTTTTACTAACTACCAGGTTCTTATTTATCGGTATCTTGAATTGTGAAACAAAAAAATCCTATATTTCCGTCACGTATTTTATCTGTTTGATTATTATCAGGCAATTTACGAGAATTTGGTAGTACTGCCCCTTAGACACATTATACTGGCTGTTTTCGCGATTTGGTTTGCTTGAAATTAAAAAATTAAAGAAAATACAGCCTATACTACACAGATAAATTACCTTTCTAAAGGTGAAAGAATTTTTAAATAATGTCCATTTGTTTTTACGTATTTCAAATACATACAAAATACAAATCTTTCCTATTTATAATATTAGTATAGATATCAGTTACTATCTGCAAAAATTACGACGAGGTACGTTAATAATTAAGTAAAAATAAATAGGGTATAAATAAAACGATGTAATATCGATTAAAAAAAATTTATTTCTCAAAAAGTTAATATCAATAACATTATCCATAATAATTAATATAAAATATAGACCAAATATTCAACCCACATTTAACTTCAAAGATAAATTATAAAAATCACATTTACCATTATATTTGAGGCTTATTGGACCCGAGAATAACTTGATATAGGTATATAATAGGTAAAAAAAGGAATGTACAGTTTGGGAATTCACCACTAAAATAACAATGTCACTTATTTTAGTAGTTATTTGTAAGTTAAAGAAAGTAAAATAATATACTGCAATAGTTGGTACAAAAAAATTACTGCATAATTTAACAGAACTCACAACCAGTTTAAGGTGAGTTACATCAAATGACTGGTTAAAAATTGTAACGGTAACATTTACATAATGTTAACATTTGCTAAGGGTGAGTTACAGAACTTATAAATGTCAATCCTCATACGATTGTAGTTTATATATTGTTAACCTTTTATCAATGTATAATGGCGACATCACATATTATAGAAAACCTTGCATTTTAAATAGGAACGTAGTTCATTAAACACTTTTCAAAACATCAGCATATAAAAATCATCATAGCAAATAATTCAAACAATAATAAAAAATAGACTTTCAAAATTATAGTATAGTTTTCGGATGTCCATAATAATAAAAAATTAAAAAATAGATCTCTAAAACTAATTAGTTATTGTATGTTGAAGCGGATACATTTCCTCCATGACCGGTCCAATTTGTATGCACAAAGTCACCTGGTTTGGTTAACAGCTCGTATGTATGGGCTCCGAAATAGTCACGTTGTGCCTGTAATAAATGTGTTGGTTTTAAAAAATCTCCACATGAAATTAGAACTAGGATAATAGAAAACCTTATACAATGTTGCAGAAAATCTTATGGTGAAAATTTCTTGCCGAAGTAATCGTTTTTTTTAAATATGTAATTTAGGCGCAACGCCATCTGTTAGCGAGTAGAGGTAGACATAGTGAATGTCTCCAATATTCGAAGCGACTTCGAGAATGTTCTCTTGGAAAATGTATGCGATTCGAACGAACAATCGAGAAGGTAATGGAACAAAGATGACAAGTATCGAGTAAACTGTTTCGATTACATAGTCAAAATATTTTTCAACATTATGCGCGATAGTGGCGATAATAGCGCCCATCAGATTTTCTAAATTCCTGTTTAGACTAAAGTCTCAATCTTTACACTTTCTATCTTTATAAAGTAAGTAGCTGTTCCCGTGCGGCTTCATCCGCATGAAATTATGAAAATTGTTTACATATGTCAAATTATAATATGTTTACATAATCAATAATTGAAAATATCAAAATGACATGATGACAAACCATTGCAATCTTTCTGCCTTGATGTTGGCAGCTTGTAGTTTATGGTCCGTTTCTTACATTTAGGTTTTTACAAATGTATTTATCCCCTGAGTTTAATAGCGTGAAAATATATAGCCTAAAGCATATCGTAAGTGTAGAACTTTTTATTAAAGGAAGGATTAATCAAAAATATATTGAGATAGTGTTTTTACGCATTATTATATTAGTATAGATAATGAAATTAAATTACCTGTAATAGATTAGCTGGCAACACATCAGAGCTGTATCCGTCATAGAAGGCGAGTGCAGCTGAGAATGTAGGCGAGGGAACACCAGACAATGCCGCTTGCGCTACCACACGACGCAGAGATATTTGAGAATCCGAAACTTGCTTAGAGAAATACGGATCCAGTAACAAGTTTGTAAGCGATGGATTCTTCGTATATGCCTCCTGGAAAATAGAATATTAGTAAAATTATTGTATCTATATGATCAGGTCGCAGTCGGTTTTATAAGACAATAGTTACTAGAAGTTTTGCCCGCGAGTCCGTCCGTGTGGTATTGAAAAAAAACAAAAGTAGCCCATATGATCTTCCAGACTATCGAATTGTTCGCATGACATTTTTTACAAATAATTTACCCCTTAAATTGAATAGCGTGAATATATATAGACTATAGCATGACCTAGGTGAAGGGTATTATATTTAAAAGAGGATTATTCAAAAATATGTATTTTAGAAGAATAGATAACATTTCTTTCATACTATAAATGCAGAATTCAAATTATCTCATTGATTATGAAGTAATAGGTATAAAACAAAAACACTTATTGTACTTGCCTTAATATTGCCTAAGAAAGCACTCCTGATGATGCAGCCTCCGCGCCACATCAGAGCAATGCTGCCGTAGTTCAAATGCCACTTGTTCACCTGAAATTATCAATAATTAATCACACAATATTGGTAGTAAATACATTAGTAACTAGCTGTTGTTTGCGACTTCGCCTGTGTGGAATTAAAAAAACATAGCCTATGTCACACACTAATATTATACTATATAACACTAACATATATTTTTAATGGTAAAAGATTTTTTGAAATCCGCCAAGTAGGCTTTGAATTATTACAATACATAAAAAAAGATAAATTTCCTCTTTATAATAATTACAATTACAACTAATTTAAAAAATCTATTGAACTAGATTGTGTCGTATCCAAAAAATGTAACTTCACTAAAAAAATCAGTATTTTTATAACACAAATCTCCGTCATAAGAATTAATTATTCGATTAATACAATTTCACTTAACTCTATTTACAATTATTTTATTTGCAATATATTTGTAAAATTATGAACTGTAATATTGTTTTTGTATAAAAAAATCTTGAATAAATATTACCTGAGCTGCTTCTCTCAATAGCATGAATCCTTGAGCGTAAGATATCACTTTGCTGGCATAAAGAGCCTTGCGTAGATGTTCAATAAACTCTACTTTGTTGCCATCAAATTTCACCACAGACTTCGAAAGAGTTTTGCTCGACTTGATGCGCTCATCTGGTCAAAAAATTATAAAATTACTTACAAATGTTAACTTAGCTTCTATTTTTTTATGGTATAAGTTGGCAAGTGAGGCTACCGGACAATTAAGGCTACTACTGCAATTCCCTAAAATTACGAAACAATTGTTGGCTATCTTTAATTGGCAGAGGAGGGGATGCACAAAAGACATTTCCCCTAAAAAATCTCCTTCCCCTTCCCATCCATTCCTTCCAACAAAAAAGGTGGAAAGGGCTTGAGTACTAAATTAAGTCTCCAATAATTAAGTATCTATAAATAAATAAGTTTTTTATACAACAAATAAAACATTATATTTACCTTTAAGTGCAGAAAGACATCTGGCAAAAACAGCCTCTCCGATTAGAGTAACAGGCACTCCATACTCCAAGGCACTGATCACAGTCCACTTTCCTGTACCTTTCTGCCCTGCTGCATCACGGATCTTGGGCAGTAAATACGAACCTGAAATACAATTCATACAAACCATCTTACTATTATTATAAATGCGAAAGTTTAGATGAATGGATGTCTGTTAGAGTATAGCTTAAACGGCTGAGCGGATCTTGATGAAATTTGGCATAGATGTAGAGGATAGTCTGGAAGAACACATAGGGTACTTGTTTTTTTATTTTTTATTTCTACGAGGACGCAGTCGCGGCTGAAAGACGGTAATAAACATTATTAAGTCACTATAATGACTATACTTTTATCAAACATACCATTTACTTTAAAATTCACAATTGTAATGATATATTACACTTGAAAAACATAATTTTCTAGATAACTGTAGATTAGGGATTTGAAATCTGATTTATTAATCTAATACATACCGTCAGTGTCCTTGAATTTCAATATACCAGAAGTGATATCAATCAAAAACGAATCCAATTCCCCTTTGCCCCAATCAGCGAAAACTTTTGCTATCTCACCCTGTTCCAAATCTGTAAAATAATGCAAAAGTAATGTATAATGATTTTACAATAAATTTTATCATTACATCACAATTTAATGATAAGAGAACACTTTTATCATTAAACGTCAAATGAATAGTAATACTTACTAAGAACATCTTTCATTAAATGGTAGGCTTCACAAATAAGTTGCATATCACCATATTCAATACCATTGTGGACCATCTTAACAAAATGACCTGCACCATCTTCCCCAACCCAATCGCAGCATGGCTCATTGTTTACTTTAGCACAAATTGCCTAGAAATAAAAATATATATAACACAGTTCAGTACTGAATGTGTATATTGATGGGTGAAAGACTATTTGTTTTAAGCGCTATTAGGTTAAATGTTCAGGAGAGAGTAAAGTTGTATTTTTAGAGCAAAAAATATAAAAACAAATCCTGAAAATCATTTAAATTGAAAGAATTTCAGACCATTTCTAGATTAAAATTGCTATAATTCTGCATACTTCATTCAATCGGCTGACTATTACTAACTGCTGATTTTTGGGCGCTTCATACATGGATACTTAAAAAAGACACCGACATTTTGATTGTTTCAAGCACTACAAAATTGCTCTGATCTTTATGAAACCCGATTCAAACGACGCAGAAAAATTCACTGATTCTGAAAATATATAAAAGTCAAAATCGCCTACAATGGGGTTGAAATAAATTGCCTTTCACCCTTCAATATGGTTTTATGCCAAAGAGTGTATTAAAACTTACTTGGAATATAGGTTTAACTGCAGGCCATGCAGCCGGGTGACCTCCAGGCATTAGAGATGGGCCATATCGTGCACCATCCTCTCCGCCACTTACCTATTAAAAATAACCCCACTTTATATTGCGTGTCAAAATCCACTAAATTAAAACATTGAAAACTGCCAGTAATACTTCAGAACACAAGAAATTTTAAATTCTGTATTTCTAATTGGGTAGTGATTTAAATTGTTTCATTAAACATTAGTATAAATAGTGTATTTTCAACTTACACCCATTCCAATATAGAGAATTCCTGTTGAAGCTAATTCCTTGCACCATTTCTGTGTGTCAGTGTACTGGGAATTACCACCATCAATAATAATGTCACCCTTCTCTAACAATGGCAACAGATTCTTAACAAATGCATCCACAGCTGAGCCAGCTGTAACACAAATATATTAATAATGATTTAAATTTTTACTAAAATTAATTTATCTATTACTAGATTATGCTACCTCCTTGCAGAAAGAAAAAAAAGTAAGTAGTCTATGAGTTTTCTTGGGCTAGAGGCCAAGACTCACTTTGGGTTGTTACACTGATAAGTAAGCCTATATGTTCTTCCAGACTATGTCCTACATCTGTACCAAGTTTTATCAAGATCCATTAATCCATTTTGGAGATATTTAGTAACAAACATCCATCCATCTAAACATTCACATTTAGAATATCTGTATTGTGTATTTTACACTTAGGCAATATTCTTCAACAGTAGTAAGGATGTTTAATAGTTTTTCTGTGAGCATTTTGGTAGTGCAAACACACAGAATACATGTAAATGCAATTCTTCCTGTTAACAAAATAATCTATCAACTATTATTGCTGTCACAGGTCTGTGTTTCCTTATATAAATATAAACAAGATTGCCGAGTCTTCAAACAATATGTATTCACAATAAGGTATAAATAAGGTCATTATAATAGTTTTCCAATTTAAATCAGGGTCAATTACAATGTTACTTTGTATTGAGTTGTGCATTCAATAGTGTGCACTTTACAATGCACCATATTTATTTAGTAACATTTATAGCATCTACACATTTGTAGTTATTTAAAAAAAAATACTTGTGAAAAGAAAATTTATTTCGTAAAAAGTGTAATTCATGACAAACATTTACTTTGAAGTGGCTTTATTTTCAATAGTACTTCAAAATGCAAAGAACCTTATCAATATATAAGGTGATAAGTACTGAAATTGTTATTGTAATTATTATTCTGCGAGTTCACTTTAATACATGAAAATTGTTCAGGCTTAACATATTAAACAAACATCACTTACCTTTGACTAAGAGCATAACTTTCCTGGGTTTCTTCAATTTCTGTACCATATCTTCTAACGATTTGGCTCCAATGATTTTTGTTCCCTTCGCCTCATTAGCAAGGAAATGATCGACCTGTTAACATTTATTTATAAGTTAACATAGGAAATTTAAAGTGTGAAAGTGAGTAAATTTGTGGGTTTGGAACCACATAGTTGGATATATGCTGTTCATTATATTACTACAAATTGTTCTAACAAGTGTAAATCACGGATTTAAATATACATTTGCTTGTTTATGCATGTTTGTTAATGTTTATTATTACGTTACTTAAATAACAAATAGGTTATTTAGAAAATAACTGCTATGGTTACATTGTATGATTTTGTTTCTCAAGGTGACCTATGCAAACATGTGCTCATTTTAAATTCGAAGTCAGTATGTTGTTAGCTTTATGTGAAGTGATGTAGACATCTGCAATGCTACGAAACTACTTATGCATTGCTATTACACAAAGGCAGATTGTACAAATCTAAATTTGATAAAATAGAAATCAAACAAACAGCAATTACCTTTTCAACGGTCCTGTTGTAAGCACAGACAACAAATCCTTTAGAATCCATGTTAAGGATAAGATTTTGGCCCATTACAGCCAGGCCAATGAGGGCAATATCAGCTTTAGGTCTAAAAAATATTATTATGTCAAGTATGTATTGTAATCTTACTTATAATATTACAAATGCGAAAGTTTAGTTGGATGGATGGATATTTGTTGGAGTTTGTAACCTTTACGGCTGAACAAATTTTGATGAAATTTGGCATACATTTAGAGGATAATCTGGAAGAACACAGAGGTAACATTTTTTGTTTTTTTTTTTAATTCCATGCAGATGGAGTCGCAGGAGAAAGATAGTGATATATATAACAGACATTTGGTAATAAATAGAAATTAATGTGGTATTTTAAAACATGTTAGATTATCCTATCTTCTATAACCTTGCAGGAAAACAAAACTAGAAGTCAAAGTACATTTTCCTCTTAATGTGAAATTCTGCAGCGGTAAAGTGTTTTATTCAGTATTTGTTGAATTGCTTTTACAATAGCTTTTAATTAATTTAGTGCTAAGTGATAAACTGACTAATTACATTCAATTACCACACATAAATAGAATGATTTTAGAATAAAAATATTAAGCATCATAAGTGCTTGCAAATAAATTCAATATTATAAAAAGATTTGAAATATTCATTGAATCTATGTTAACATATTTACTGAATTTTGTAGATACTAAACAAGTTACTGAAGGTAGGCATAATGACCTAAGTAAAGTTCACCTTCAAATAACCTTGCACAATGCATGTTCCAAAACCCTACTTTTGTTTAGTTTATAGCTAATTTCTAATGGAAACTTCCAGTTAAGCAAATAATCATGTTTATAAACTTATTTCTGTGAATAAATATTAATTTTACATTAAATAAAGTAAAAAATCTTACATGAAAATTTCAATTGTAATGTAAGCGTAAGTGAACAAGTTAATATATGTTTTTCAATTGTTGAATTGTAGTTATTTATTGAAATAACTGAATATTAAATTAAAAATTATTCTGTAAAGTACGAAATACTGGCGGTGAATTAAAATTATGACATTGGTCATGACTAATCACTTAATGACTACTAGAAACTTAAAAGCAAAAGATTGTTGTACATTTCACACAATTGAGGTTATAGTAATACTTACTCAGCCATTATTTCAAATGTATTCCGGAATGTTTAACTGGATAAAAGTATCGAAGCGCCTGAAACTTTACTTTTATTGAAGAGGAATGTACTAACACTGTAGGAAGATGGCAAGCAAATGTGCGGGTTTTTTGTCCCGCAATGTCAGCAAACTTGTAATTCGCTTATGTGTCAATGTCAAATTCATACCAGAGACAAAAAACTATTTGACAGATAAAAACTTAACTCAGAAGTAAGTCCAGTGTAATTTTTTTAATTAAAAATTAAACTAGTGTTTGACCTCGGTCCCACCTGATCTTAAGTGGTTGTGTAGTCGAAGAATGGTACAGGCTAGCTTAGTATGAATACCAATTTACCATTTTCTTGAAGGCACTCACGTTGTAACATAGACGATAGTTGTTTGTAGTGTTGGTAGAATCATAAAAGCACCGTTGATTCTAAGAGGGCCCCTTAAGACCCAATTAATTTTTACTTTCAATTTCATAATAAGATACTTTGCTTTTGGTAAAAATTTCACCGCATTACCAGCATAAAAAGTAAAAGTTACTCCCTGACTTTACCTTAATTACACTAAACTATTTAAGTTTGCTGTTGTGTGGATGGAGGATTGGATTGGATAGTTTGTGTGAGGAGAGAGTGTGTAACGTCCCCGTAAGTGTAAAACTAACTGCCATTTAGTCCAAATCTTCCGTTGTAAACCGCTAAATTAATTATTAATTTTCGGCTATTTTTTTACCAAAAAGTTGCATACTTTGTGAAGAAGGTGGGAGGGGTTCCAGATCATATCTAAAACACGCTATTGGAGTTATTTAAAGTTAGTTAGTATATAAGGAAGAAAGCTATATGTACTGTTGGGGAGTCAGTACTCATTACAGTGACTAAATCTAGATGTAATGTGACGTAGACATTGTCAATGACAACCATCATCTCAGATGGGCATTATTTAGATAATAATTTGCGAAGTACCTGATTTATAAATTGACGTGTATGTTGTCTTGAGTACGGAGTCCCTTTTTTACAGATCTCGATGATATTTGACTTAGATGTAGAGCATAATCTGGAAGAACACATATGCTTTTGGGACAAAGTCGGGGGCAAAAGTTATGGATCAAAATTGTAAATCAAAGATGCTGCAGTTAAGCAAAAATGATTCAAGTTCTAATGTTGATTTCTTAGTTTACACATATGTATAGTTTTGACAAATTAGTTTTGTTTTACTTAGTACGGTGCGAGAAATGTTTCGTAGTAAAGGTTTAGAAATTAATTTTAAAATGTACTTAGGTATTAACAGGTAAATAATTGTATTACTTTATACATATTTTTTTGAAACAATATTCATCCATATAAGAAAATAGGAAGGTACTCTGTGGTATGATATTTTGTTGACATTTAATACAATTTTAATTCTGTTTACTATCAAAATGTTCCTAAATTTATTTGCGTATTTTAGACTAAATTTTATGTTGAAGTAAAATGTTAATTATATAAAAAAATACGAATAAATGCATAAAATCGTGCTCGAAAATTTATTTGCGTAGTGTATTGAAGTAAACTGTCTACAGTCATGGTATATGGAGTTGTTTTTGCTGCATTCTTGGTTGTATTTTGGCTTCCATGCGTTAAGAAAGGTCTGTGGACTAAACCGGGACCTGTGTACGCGAAAGATCGTAAAAACCGTTTGTTTCAAATCACACCAACAGGCCAGTGCTGCGATGAAAAATGATCAGAATAATGGACTTTGGTTCGTGTTTCGTCAATCTATTTTAAGTGTAATGTTTTAATAGGATAGTAATTTGGTAAATTATTAAATTATTATAATTTGTTGAAAATGATTTTATAAATAACGATGAATATGACGTTCAAGTATGTTTTCACTAACATGTTGAAGACAACAAATAAATGTGATTATTACGCCATGTTTAAATATAATAATAAGATCCCCTCTGCATCTCAACTTTAAGCTGGATATGACAAGATGGTTGCGTTATTTAAGAAATGGATAAAATTTGTTTGGCTTATGCCATCTGATATCTGATTATTTAAAGTTTCCATGAAGACATTGAATAAGGTCGCCTACAATTATCTGTATTATTAGTCATAGACAGATATATATCATAGTCTGGTAGATTATCTGAGAAAAAGATCCACACGTGCTATAGCGCCCGCACGTATGAACCGTTTTCATTAACCGTTAGGGCCCACATGCGTCGGCACATCCTAACTTTTCCTATGTACAGAAGTAGATTAACTCTAATTAATGAGTAGTTCTTTTGTTGTCGACTCTTTAGGGAAGAGAGTAGTAGTGAAGAAAGTAGATTATGAATATTTTATATGTAGGGTAATGTAAGGTGCAAGCAAATTTTCTGCTCCGAAGAATGCAATTAACGCTAGAAAAATAAACAACTCCTTTGCGGTTGGGATAATTTATTTAATATCAGATTCACAGGTAAAGATAATGACTTGAAGTTAAAGGTTACAATTCTACTTTCCTACTTTCTTCTATTGGATCGCACAGGAATATCTACGGGTATTTTTAAATCGGTTTTAATAAATGTCACATTGTATTATCCATGGGTTTCCACTGTAGGAATACATGCACAACAACATATTAATAAAACAACGATTATAATACGTTTTTGTACGAGTGTCCCGACTAGATGTTTGCCTTCATTGTGAAATAAATCACATTTCCATAACCTGATATTTAGGACACTACGTGACAGTTATTAAAAGTTACACTATCACCAGAAGGCGAGTCTTACAAGGGTCAAATGCGATAAACATCAATTATATTCATAATCTAAAACATCCATTTAAACGACTACAAACATTGATCGTAATTTCATTTATATTATTTCAAAATTGTATTACGATTATAGATACATATTTTGGTAGATATATTATCGATTTCAAAAAAGGTGCCACCAAAAGAAGGCATGAATCGATTGATTGCGTTCTTTTGATTTTCTAGTTTTAATATTTACCGATAGAAGATATGTAACTATTAAGTGCAAAGTTGTAACAATTGATGTACCATTACGTGTTAGGTTACATTTTAATGTCTTTACAATTAGTACTATTTTGAAATTTGAATATATATGTGTACGAGTTGCCGATGCCACATTTTACGTTTGATTTTGTGTGAAAGGCTGCATCTACCAAATTATATATCTATGATTAGTTTCTATTAATATACTACTTTACTAATAACATTGTTTCCTACTACGTAAGTGTATAGCTAAGAACATCAATATATTTTTGAAGATTTTTCTTATTTTTTATAAACAAATATTTTCCTAAAACACTTAATATATAAGAGTATGTAAAGAGTAGATAACCACATAAGATAATTTCCAAATTAACGGTATAAAATAGTCGTTTGATTTTTGGTAAAGAGTGGTAAAGTATTGTGTCATAATTTGACGAAGGCATAAAAGGTAAATTTCAGTACATCTTTGTAAATCAGAAATTTTAAAAAAATCTTAATAATTTCTCTTTGGTCTAGGGTTAGGAGGTTATGTGGTTAGGTATGGAAAATTGAAACATTCGACATTAATAAGAAATTAAATCATGTCCAGGAATATTAGAGCTTGGAAGTAAATAATTTATAAAATTCAGAAAGTATACCATAGAATGTAGCTGAGAATCATTAAGCAGAAACGGGTATCTTACAATAACATTGAATCTTAAATGCATCAATAAGCTTATACTGTTTAGCGATCAGAAAATTTGAATGCGTGCACATACATGTTATAGATATAGTTTATAGTTGTAACAACACCGATAATGTTCATAAATTATGACTATTACAATATTGACACATAATATCGTATATTCATAGACACCAAGTAACTACTATTTCTTTTCAGATTCATTGCGAAGGTATTTCCACTACGAATAACACACATAATGTTGCTAAATTGAAAGCTGTCCATGCAAGGAGGACAACACACCTATTTTGATATAGATAACGTTGGGAGTTATAAACAGGGAGCAATGGTCGATCAGCATTCATGACAAAGCAAACGTAATGTACCGTACGATTGTTAAGACGGTTAATCCAATGTATGCTCAACTACTGTGCTCCGTGTCTAAATACTCCTAAACTTTATTTATATCCACAAACCAGGTCCAATAAATTACGCACTCACGACTCGGGCTGGTAACTACACCTGTCATTCAAATAAAATGTCAATACTAGGCCTTTCATTATATCTACCAGCACCATTTATAAAGCCATCGGCAACAAATCCATCCATCCTCTTCCTCTTCCTCTTCCTCCTCCTCCTCATCCTCCTCCTCCTCCTCTTCGTCCTCTATGTTGTCCTCCTCGTCGTCGTCATCGTTGGGTTGGCCTCATTGAGGCAACCGTCATTCTTCCTCCTCGTCATCATCATCGTCATCCTCAGGCTCTTCCATGAATTCTTGATCACCAAGAATTTCATCCTCGCCCACTACCTGTGGATTGGCAATAACAAGATCTTTAAGTTCAACATCGGTTGGGACTTTCTTTTCAGGCTCAGCTTGCACCATGTCTTCTTTGGTATATTCCTCGTCATTCTCAGGTTGTTGATGCTCTACGGTTTCAACAACGGCACCGGCAGTGTTGTTTGCTTGCATGGTATATAGGACAATAATCTTTAGAATTTCCTTGTCAAAATTAGGTGCATTAGCACTATTTTCACAAGTAGCAATTTCCATTGGATCTTCGGGGGCCTGTGGAGTGTTAGTTTCTTGAGTAGTTTCAGTTCCCTCAGTAACGTCAATGGCATTGCCTATGTTGTCGCCAGTGGCATTGCGAGTGTTGCTTCCAGTGTTATCACGAATGTTATCGCCAGTGGCATCTCTAGTGGCATCGCCAGTGTTGTCGCCAGCGTTATCGCGAGTATTAGCGCGATTGGCATCCCCGGTAGCATCGCCAGTGTTGTTGCCTGTTGCCTCGGTAGTTGTTTTGTCAGTTGGCGCGCCTGGTCTATTGCTTCTGCTCCTAAAATATAAACGAATATTCAAGTTATAATTTATTATTAAAGATAATCATTAAAGTAGGTTGTCCTAGTTTTTGAATTACTACTAATTCCAGAAAAGAAAGTCACTGATGATTTTATGTACGAGTTGTTAAAGATGATGGTAGTCCTGTAGCTAAATATGATGTAAAGTTTGTGTTAATAAGACAATTAATCATAAATAAAAATTCTTGCCTTGGGAAAAGCATCCGCAAGAACCTTGTCTGTCATCCCTCAATCTTCCCCTGCCGCGTGCCGCTGCCCAATAAGGATCTAGCAACAAAACACAAAAGTACATAAGTATTTTGAGATCCACTCATTATTTCATTGTATTAAGTAAGATAATAAAAACAACAACAGCACGTTTTAATATTAACGCATAGCCCTCAGTTTTAAATTTAAAAAAAATGCACAAGTGTTTCGCCTTGCTAAGTACATTGCAGCTCCTTCGTTAGTCACTGCTAAATCAACATTTCCTTTAAAGAAATATACTTAATTCTCAGACGTATTTTTAAAAAGTTTAATTACGAAACCATGAGATCTTTTCTTATGTATGTGTAAGCTTTCATTAACATCGTTGAAATGTAAGTTGAAAATATCTACTTAAAAGTCTAAGTTATTAATACGCAAAACGTATTTGTTATAAATGTTAAATCGTCTCTTAATTTCATTGATCGCTGCGAATCTAAAATGGCGAAGCAACAATATTGATTGATTCGCTGCGCATGACAGTTAGCAATGCCGCTGCAAACTGCGCAAGCCACAAAACATCAGAAGCCATCCAAAAATATCTCCGTCACCAAGCTTTGAATTAAATTGAAATAATAAAAGTTAGTTAGAATAAAAGGTATTTTATTATCCTGTTCGTATATTTCAAGTGAATAATATCCTAGCGTTAAGAAGAACAAGGAATATTGGACAAGCAAAAGAAGATGGCTGTCTGTACCGAGTTGCGCATGTGCAATGAAAAAGCGGCCATCTTGTCTAACCTAAATAATTATCACAAATGGACAACATTGCTAACCAAATTTCAGATTTAAAGATATTATTCCATAGGTGAAATAAAATGATTATATATTTCTCACTATATTTAGACTTTGCAATAGTATTGTTGGAAAGAGGTTGGATCCAGCATCCTAAGATGGCTGACCTTTCAGAGATGCGCATGTGCGGTGTCATGGCCGCCATTTTATTCATGTTCTATCATAATCGATAACAGCGACGACGTTATATAAATATTTCATATTGAAAGACAATTAAAGCTTAGGTGATAGATATAACATATAGAACAATCGTAATTTTATATTAAACCGTTAAACATGTTAATTGTCGTCCTAGCGTTAGGGCATAGAAGGGATGTTAGACATAGCCTCCGAAATGGCTGCCATTAGAGGAATGCGCATGTGCGGTGACATGGCGGCCATCTTGTCCATCTCGAATCTCGCAAAATCGATAACATTGATGACGTTATTTAAATATTTCTGATTGAAAATTAAAGCGCAGACCATAGAACAATCGTATATATTTGTATTAAATCATTTTATATTTTGTCATCCCAGCGTTAAGGCAAAGAAAGGATGTTGGATGTAAGCATCCAAAATGGCTGCCATTAGAGCTATGCGCATGTGCGGTGACATGGCGGCCATCTTGTTCATCTCGAATCTCGCAAAATCGATAACATTGGTGACGTAATCAAAATATTTTTGGATTGCAATTTTAACGTAATTTCGCGTAAACTAGTTAAAACACCATAGAACAGTAACTTAAAATAAGAAAACAGTTTAATATATATGGAACAAATAAATAGAAGTAACTATATTGGAAGAATATACCGAAAAAAAATACGCAAATTGTAGGAAAATAGGACAGCTGGAATTAAAGTAATAGGTGTAAGTAAATTCTTACCCAGCAATACCCTTCAGCCGCCGCTCTGGACTCATCTCAGGATCGGGGCTCGTGCTCTCGCTCTGTGATCGACGCCATAACAAATATTTAAGCAGTTTCGCCAACAAAATCAGCTTTTTCAAATTCATTCTGCCGAAGCTCCTAGGGCAGGTTCCTTTCAGCTCCAAGATAAGGAAGGGCACGCCCTTCTTAATTAAGAGAATCCGATTCGAGACACGACCACTTTGTAGTAACCGCACCGTCGAAATGAATATTGGATCTCAGCTCTAGGTGCCCGGACGGATTCGCACATGCGCAGTTCAGCTCATAGAAAATCAATGATTGTCGAACAAAGGATGGGGCACTCGAGACTAGCTCGTATTCGTGACTTTGCTTGTATAGAATAAGCAATCGCACTTTATGAACAAATGTTGACCTATGACTTTTGACGGTACAATAAAAATGTCTTTATACAAATACTCCTTATTTGCTTTACTTAAAAACAAAGGCAATATCTATTACAATATTTTTGGAGATAAAAACCTAACGCTCAGATATTTAAGTTTTGAGTATTGCATATACAAATATATTCCCCAATTTTTCTTCTATATACATACTTCTACTTAGTCCGTATGACTGGGCACAAGTATTGGAAACCTATTGCGCAACAAGGGTGTACCTTATCTTTATAATATGGTATCATTATTTTTTGTGAGGTTAAATATTATAAGATGGAGTAAAGTAATGGCGCCGATGTCGGACGCGGGCCAACCATGGGTGTTTTTTGAATTTACCTCCAAGATTAAGCAAACGTGAAGGATTTTTTTTCAAATGGCAACACTGATGACTTGTGTCTAAATAAGGATGATTCGTTTGACAATTTAGTAGGGATGGGTTGTATAAAATCAGGTATGAATCTTTTCGATTTTCGGTTTTTACTCTAATAGCAGTTGGAATCGATAGATTCATAGTTATAACGTATGGATAAAAAAAACACTGTTTTCTCAAATCAGTAATGGCATACAGAACCAATGCGCAAAAGCAAAGAATGAGACTTATTGATAATGAAATGAATATTTATTAATAATACAGTCGCGCATAATCGTTTTGGACTTCGCTATTGTTATTGTCGACGCTATACTCTCTACACTATATTCATTACTGTACAATTGACCCTTAAGTTAGTTTATAAGTAAATTATTGTTTATGTTCATATCGATCAATTTTATTTTAACCGAATATCGATCAGTCCATAGTTGTTGGCTATGCGTGTTTGTTTCGTCACTACGATACCCGTCCATTAAGTACGGTATTTACCGTCATACAAATTTAATTTGATACTTCATATGCATCCTTTATCAAACTAGTCAACGTTATTTAGACAAACTATAGGCACTGAGCGAAATTCGATAGTACTTGAATCGTTAAGATTTGATGTATTAATTACATTAAATTAAATTAATTTTGTAAAGAACAAAGGGACTTGTGTGTGTTAGATGTATTTTTTTATTACAAGATGAATGTAATTCTTATAATATTTTATACCCCAGGGAATCGTTCTTTAAAAAGAAAGCTGATAATTTATATGTTTTATGAAGTTGACCGTTTACTAAATAATGTTAATTTAAAAATTAATTTCCCTGAATAATTAATTTTCGTATCGCCAAAAAATAAATACTCATACCTGTACAAATGTAACAAAAATGTTTTAAGTTATTTTAATGAAAAGCAAATATTAGTTGAAAGATTACTTACCCTGCTTATGCGGCTAGATGATGGTAGAATTATATCTAAGAGATTAGCTTGACTGGTTACATTTTTCATCTTTGTAAGAGGTGGATGCTTATTGGTGGAGAAGGCAAACCCGCGTCTCAAATTCGACCTGTAACATTAAAATCATATCATACTTAAGGCTAATGTTATAAATTCGGAGGACAAAATTTGTCGTGCTGACCCTACATAGAACGGAATAAGGACGCGGAGATGATGATGACTGATATGATAAAACTCTACTTGTATCATGAACATCATCGGCCTCTGTTAGTTAACTGCTGGTTTTTTATGGAATACGATGGCAAACGATGAAGTAAGTCACATAACGTTGAATTACTGATGGTCGTAGCCATCAAGAAGAAGTAAATAAGTGGCAAATAGGTAGCCTTCAGTGGACATAAGGAAAAAAAAACATACAGGAAAATGAGATTTCCCAAACATGTCTATAACAGAAAATTGAGCCATACATCCTTAACTCCAGTAGACTCTAGCATTGCTAAATTACAACTCTATCCCTGCTTGTATAAGAACCAAGATAACCTATCCTTTGTTTAAAGAAATAGTAAATTGATGTTATAATAGCTTGAAATATTGCTGGTCAAAGTTATTGTTAAAATGGCCAAATGTTTCTCGAATAGTGTCCAAGTTATGACAAAACAAACCTTTTTTGTAAAAATTCTTAGAGGAAGTCAATTCAGTAGTTGACTCAAAATCTTAATACTTACCATGGTAACAACAATGTGGTTTATATCGAATCTTGTTTTTTATTTATTTTTGTATGATCAAATGACTTAGGGAATGTTGATTCTGACTGTTATATCCCAGATTGAGCTAGTGACTCATAAAAAAAAAAAACTGAATAACACTGAGAACTAAACACCAGAAAAAGCATGTGACTTTTATTCACACATTTTTACACCTACCTTTATTTAGCTTGTGAACAATCATCTTTACCTTCTGACGAGATAGAAATGCGCAGATTTAAGTAAGGATTAAATGTTTTGCAATAAGAGTTTTTTTTAGATAAAAAATCAATGATAATATGCAAATGAGAATAACTTTTTTGTTTCTTAGTGATATGTTAATAAATAATGAAAAAACAGTGAAATGAAAAAAAAAAACAATTTAAGAAATAAATAAAAAAAACACTAACATCGAAAAGTATAATAATAGTCTATATTAAATAATAATCAATACGATACAAGGTAAGTATAAAGTAAATATATACGAAAGGAATGTATAAGTTCTACATAGTTTAATAACATTGAATGGTTGCCTAATTTTTGTTTTAATTAAAAAAGAAACTACGAGGTATAAGTGAATGTTCGTATACTTGCAGAGTGATATAATAGACAATAAGGTATGTGTAGATTACAGACAAAACTCAAAGTACTCCTAACCAATAATAACTGTTTAAGCGCTAGTACTAAAAAAAAAAGTTAAGCCTCTCAAGTAAAAGGAGAGCTTTTTATATGACACAGAGATCAATTTATATTGTTAGATATGCCGAAATAATAAAGAAATAAGGTTTGTTAGGAAATGTAACTACAGAAAGATTTTATTTCTTCACAGACATTTGTCTTGTATTTCTTGTGCTGTTTAGTTATTTCGAGACTTACCTACATTTGGAATCATTTTTTGAGATGATATAATCCTGTGGGCGTAAAAGAATTGAAATGTATTTACAAACTTCATAATTTTACGCTCTAGCATACATTTTTACATTCATATTTCGAAATTCTAAAAAACTTCGTATTACCTCATTTTACTCGTTCTAAAGACATTTTACTAATACAGTATTTTCCTATAATATTCTACAATTGCATTTATTTTAATCACAATTTAACAGATACATACATATGCGTATATTACATAATATAAATGAAATATAAATAATTATATACGTGTTAATAAGATTTCATCACTTTTTAAATCTTTCTTCTAATCCTACTAAAACATTCACTTCAACACCTCATTTTAATTGAACCTAATTTTTCTGTTCAATTACTATGACTAATTTTATATATGTTTTCACCTAAATTACAAACTTGCATTTAAGTACTAAAATTCAACTACATTTTAATTATTTCGTTAAACTATTTTATTCAATTAAATTACTACTGTTTCTGGTTTACTATTTTTCTTTACAGCTAACTATAACTAAGAGATGTAAAACCACTAAAATATATACATCTTTTGAAATAAACATTACGAAACAAACATTCTGATACGTATTTGTTAAGGAATGAAACTATAATATAATTTATAATTTAAAGGCAATCAATACTAATTTTATCAACTAAATAGATACTTATTAAAATATACAATACAATACTTATTTAGTTATAAATGTACATACATATTTGGATTAAAGAAAACATTATTATTTACATATATACAGGTATCATACATTTGAAAAAGGAAATAACAAAAACAAAACATTTTGTGTGGGTTCATGGTGAATGTCTAAGTTATAATTTCTTAACAAAATCAAAGGATATAAATAAAAAACAAAATTAAAAAATTCCAGTTGTCTATGTCAATAAAGTTTGTCCGTGAGATATACATATTAATGATATTAGAAAATATAGTATTTTTATCAGACGAAACAATGCGCATTTTATGGTAAGCAAATTTACAAACGCTGTGAATGAGAGTGGGAGCATAGGAGTTCACATCCTGGAGACGTAGTCTATGTCGAGCGAAGTCCAAATTGATACTCGAATAATAGAGTAATAAGTAGATATATCTTATACACAAAGATAAAATATAAAGAAAACCTAATTCCAAATTTAAAACAGAATATTCCATCATTTTAGATTTATACAATGACAGTTCTCACCTTCATGTACACATTCTAGAAGAAAAGTGCGCCTTGCTTCGTGAGATAATGCTATAAAAGGAAAATGAAATTTAACTTCGTGTTTCTGGGGCGATGAATTAACATTAATATTTGAGAGTTGTGTATGAGTATGGGACTCATCGTTAGACGAAATTGGCCTAAGTTGGCGCTAATAAAGTTTGTAAAAACTACCAACAATTCATTATATTTTGTATTAATGTTAGTATAATTATTATGTATATAAATTTCGGTCATTTAAAGATATAAATTACCAGTAGTAGCTGACATTAGTCAGATGACTGACTAATGTCAGCGACTTCGGCCGCATGGAGTTTGAAAAGCCTAAAACAAATTTACACTTGAACTTTTACTGTTGAAAAAATATTCTAAAAGCCGTTTATAATTCTTTTTGCTGATGGAATATATCTATACAGACTTGCAGCCTCCTTTAGACTGATGAATGTCGTTATAAGTGTTGTTTAAGTCTGTAGGCCCAGTACTTGGATGTGCGTTGATGTATCAGTCAGTCAGTCAGTTTACTGATAAGATATGATTAGATGAACTGAATTTAATTCTCAAAATATGTATACTTCTATTCGCTATATTACAAAAAATCTTTGAAGATACGTTTTCCATACAACATGTATGAATCTTAAGATGATCAAAATTTTATTCAACCAGGTATATTTTACAATTCACTTACCACTAGAAGATTGTCCTAAGGTGTACCAACGGTCAAAATGTTTAAATTCCGGATAGTCTTAAGTTTTTTTACAAGAGTTGTACTACTAGCGTATTTTGTAAACTGGAAGAGTTAACTTAACTAATTCTTAGCATGCTATTGCTGGCCAATACGTTTTAAGCTTCGAGCGTAGCATTATTCATAGTTCAACACATTGCTCAGTTATTTAATGATGATATTGGATAAATGTACTACTGGATCACTGACTTTATATTGAAACACTATTTTAAATTGCACATTCACTATTTAAAGCATTCTACGTACTATAGCACTGTTATAGTTTAAGGTACTGTAAATTTATGTTACTTTAATGTCTTGAGTAGCGACGTGACTTAGCGTCAGTCAATTAATAGAAATGGTCATGCCTGCTGGGACTGGTAGGGGGATAGCTGGTGCCGCGGTGGTCGGGGCTCAAGTATTGTTGGTGCTGCGCTACCTCCCTGTTTCGCTGCAACTGCTCTTGATGAGATTGATACATCTGCTCCGAAGCAGATTGCGGACTGTAACAAACATTGTTAGTGACGAGACTATAAAATATAAAAATAAACGATTTACTTAACCATGTTAATTTTATAATAAGTACCTAGGAGGATGACGTGGAGAAGGAGGTTCTACTGTTAAATCAGGCAAGCTGTGCATCGATGTCGTCAAGTCGTCTGGCGGGATTACCCGCAGTGTACTGGGACTGGCGCTAGCAGCCCGTTTTCCCCGACGTCCGCGGCCATTCTTCCGATGTCCCACGTGCTCACTTTGGGTACTCTTAACGCTATAGTCACTCATGGCGCTCTGATTCCGGTCTGCTTGCTGCACGAACTGTAAACCGTGAGCGCTCTGCACGCTCTTAGATCGCTGGACATGCTGAATTTGAGCGCCACGACCACTTTGGACGCTCTTGGCACGTGGAACATGAATTGCACGACCTTTCTTCCTCCTTCCCCTATCCTCCTCACCATGGCCACTTTTAGCTGCGATGTCACCGCGTAAATTTGGCAGTAGCGGGAATGGTATTGGAATCGGTATCGGAATACCAACAGCCATCTGCCCAACAAAAAATAATTAAAACAAGCTCTTAGGGAATATTGCAAGAATTAAATTGTTATGGTGTAGGGAACCATCTACATACATATAACTAGAACAAACCACAGTTACAAAAAACATTCATATACAACACACATACACACTTATATAACACACGTAAATAAAACACACATATATCATATAAACAGGTGCACGACAAGTGGTCGAAGTGTAAGTGCGTCGTCTGAATTTATGAGCTCTGATTGGCACATTCAAATTCGCAACTGCACAGCTGATCGGGGTCATTGACCGAGCGGCGCGCACTTAATGACTAGTTGAGTTCATACTGTGCACGCGCTGTCCACCAATAGTTTTGCCCTCGTTTTCGCAAGTTTGTTATTATTGTATTATATTTCTGACTCTTCCTCCTACTTGTTTGTGTTGTACTATCCTTTTTCTTTTTATTGTGTTGTAGACTTTTGTGTTTGTGTAGAATAAATTGTGTTGTGCAAGTAACGATCGCATTATTTGAATCCTGCCACCGCACTCAAGAAGCATCGTCATCACACCCTCACCAGCTCACCGGTGATACACGCGACTACCACAAACGCCACACTGGCAATACCAAGTATTCTGTCAGTACTGTGAACGTTTAAGGCACTGCGTATGGCTTTACATTTATTAGGTTCCTCTGAAATAAATTACTTATATCTAAAGTAATAAACAAAAAGCAATGAATGAATTAATAATATAAAATAGTACATATAATAATATAATACATGATTAATGAATCAATGTATGATACGCCACGCATGTTGGTACATGTATGTTTTATAGTTACCGATAGCTGGGCATTTGACTGCTGCCTTTTCGGTTCCTGAGCTACGTGCAGTTCCGACAATGGTTTTGGATTACAGTGCACCTGATTAGCCCTGAATTGTACTAATGGGTTCGAAATAACAGCACGTTGCAATGGTGGGTTCTCAACTATAGATACCGTGACTGGCTCTACTATAGCTGGTGGCTGGTTCAAAGGCTGCACGACCATTGAAGGAATTTGTTCAAACATCATTGCCTGTGACGGTTCTTGGATGTTTGGCCCATGGGTTATCGCTTCATGTATCATCGGTGGATGTAGTGCTAATTCGTGAATAACCTCTGGCCTTATTACCGATTGGTGTAGAGCCGGAGGCTGAAGCGCGGGAGAGCTTAACTGAGGTGATAACAATGGCGTCAACAGCGATGATGGTAGTGGAGAGTCGGCATATTCATCTTCCGATATGTCGTCATTAAATGTATCTGAAAGTGAGTTTATTACATAAAATGATAAAATAAAACACTCCATTATTCTCATTCATTTATTACTAGCATTTAATTAAAACTAGGATGATAATGTTATAATTATTTAATGGTAATTATTGTCTTAAATACCTTCCGATTCCATTTTTCCAAATGGAGCATCAATGGAGTCGCTCTGGTAATATGGTCCCCTGCTTGTGCTTGGCTGCGGTTCGTCGCGCGATGTCGCACTGTAAAGATAAATCCAAGTGTCAACAATATGTTTGAAGCATCAATAATTTTTTATTACAACCACTTTTAAAATACTTTGGTTAAAAAAAGTAGTCAATGATTGACTGGTATTTCCTTAACCTTTGGTAAAGATGGTACATGGGATGGCAAAGTTTATGATATGGCAGCTTGCCAGTGAGTACATAAGTAGGATTTACCTGGTAGACTTTTGCAAGCTGGACAAGCGGGATCCACGAGAGCTGCCCGCGGTGGTGGAGGAGTATCTACGAAGCACAGGATTCCTCCAGCGACGCGCTGCTTCTAAGTTGCCAACGAGGATTGCTTCAGTTACTAGAAAACAAAACCACTGTTGACATAGTTTTGTTTATGATTTTAATCTCCTGCGGATGTACATTACACGGTATTGGTTACTTTGATGGTTCAACTTTTATGCGCGTTTTTATTTTTTTCTTAGTTTTATATTAAACAAACGAACATTTAAATTTGGTAACCTTGAATATATAAATGACACAATAAAATAAAATTAAACCAGTGTTTCTAAGAACAGTGCCATCTTGTGATAGCAGAGTGTATGTTTTTTTATGTGAGACTAAAGTAATATTTTAATATTGCTAAGAATTTGATAAAGTACTTTGGTATGTGTCCTCGGGAATGTTCGTCATTGTGTAGTCCTGTTGCCTGCTCAATTTGCCATGCAGCATCACGGCTGCCCACTCTCGACCCTCCTTCTCGATGGCTATTTCTTCTGGAGACATCTTCAAAATAACAATTTAAATACTTTTTCCTGTATTTTACTAAGAAACCTCATAATTTAATTAACGATTTTAGTTATGTAGAGTTTATTTGAAGTAATTTATCGAGACGTGTGTGACAATTTGCATATATTTGCATGAATAGTTTTAACTTAAACCGTATGAACTAAATCTGTATAAAATAAATCTTGATAAATTAATTACCAAGGATTTTAGAAGACACAATCGTACAGAGGATAGCATTTTTTTAATTTCAATACTGCGCCCTCTGTGCGTGTAACTCATGAAAAGTCTTCGTTCGGCAAACATACTAAAACGAGGGTTTTCAGCATAAACTGTGCCGAGCCTGAGTTTCTAGCTAATGTCGATAGATGTCAACATGGGTAGAGAATGCCGTAGTTGGCATTTGAATCACAATTTTTAAACATTTATCAGATAAAAAATTATTCTGAATTGCTTAATGTAGGACGTGATACTCGTTTAAATTTTTAATAACGACTATTCATTTAAAGTGCACATCTACTATACGAAACTACATCTTTATACGGAATTGTGAAATTAGTTTTAACTTTGAATAATTACAATGCCTTGATGTCAGAAATCTTTAGTAGAAAAATGTTCTTTATACCAATTTTAAGGAGGTTTCGGCGGACTCTAGTTCTTTTTCAGTCATGCCTTCTCTTCGTTGTCCGAATATAATGACAAGTTCATAACTTATTTTGGCTTCCTTAATTTTTTGATCCCAAGTTAGAAGCAAACTTGTCTGCAATCATTAAAGATGGAAAGAAATTACACACTCTGAGATAGCATTTTTTTATTTCTATTAGTTTATCACTTACTTTAAGAGGGGTTTGCGTTTTTTCCTCTTTCGAGGGTTCTGACAGTGTAAAACTATGATATGCTGAATGAAAATCGTCTACAGCAACAAATACTAAAGCTACCACTTCCTTAGTGGTTCGGCTGTACTTCGGGTAGAAGTGGAGCCTATCAACCATGTATTTTGGTCTAAAACAATACAAGTTAATTTTTACTTCAAAAATCATTTTCAAGAAATAATATCAAATTGATAATGTATTCGCTAAACTTTACCTTATCATTTTATACAAATAAAAACTGCCTTTTGGCAACTTTTTACAAATTAATAACATGTCCGTAAATAAAAAGACGCGAACATCGATCTGTAAAAACCGTTATCTAATTTACACTTAATGGATTTTAAATTACAATTTAATGACAAATATTACATTCGCTAAAATAGCAGAAAATTCGCAAGTACAATTCAAATTGGAATGCGAAATACACAATAAATTACACATACTTTGCAAGAAAAGTATTAAGTTAAATAAGGCACAAGTTCCAATAGTTAATTATCGCAAGCAATTAATAATGCATAAGCAGGTAAGTAGAAAGATAAGGATGTAATATGTGGAAGGTGACGTGATTATGAAGAGAGTGAAGATTAAAATGTCAAATAATAGATCTGGAGGACGAGCGCTCGTAATGCGACGCCATCTCAGTTATTTAAGGGCAGGTAGATGATGATGATCGTTAATCGCAAGCAGCTGCAGCCATTCTATTTTTTCTTGCCTCTTTGTTGTTGTTATCTTTAAAACGAAGGTCCCCGCTGTACACGACACATCGTTTAACAGACCGTGCCACGTAAATCATGGGAGCATGCAAATCTAATTGTGAATACATTTTGAAACACCTTTCCATTTCTTCGTCTTTGAATTCCTATAAGAGAAACATTAGATTAAAAAATGAAATTGAATGTACTTTAATTAATAACTAATTTATATCAATTTGTAAGTTTTAGGGAGTCATAATAAATATTGAAGCAATAAATATTGAAGTAATAAATCGCGTTGTGGTGACAATATGAATATTCCGATCATTATTTTTTATTGACCTTAAAAAGTCCGTTCCGAACATTCTTACCAATTTTTAGTTTATCTTGCTCTGGCTATTTGTCAATGGACAAAAACTTTTTGGTGTAAGCCTGTGAATACTTAATAGAACGAAATTATTATGCTCGTTCTGCTTTTGATATAGATGAAGGATTAGTATAGATGAAACAAATGTTCTTACCAACTCAAATGGCTCTATTGTATTAGTTATCTTATATAACTTGTCTTTTTCTTCGCGTTGACGTATGCGGCGGTTGATATGCTGCAAGAAGTTTTTGATTGCTGTTTCCTGTACGATAAAAAAGTTAAAACGTACAATTAATCCCTCAATACAAACTTAGCAGGTTATTGCAGACTACTTTTCTATCATTTAAAAGTGTCTTTACTCTTTTAATTATCAATTTGTATAACGAAATCTTACCATAGAAAACACAAGATCACGCACTGCGCCCTTTTCTGTAGTGTCGAAAATTCTGTTCATCATTAAGGCATATTTCGTAATACGTTGCATAGGTTTTGCAAGCATGTCTGCCAGCTGAAGTCTATAATAATCAACAATAATTAACAAACAATGAGCGTCTTAAAAAAGAGATTTTTGGTAAAACAAATGAACAATGGACAAATAGTATTGCGACTACATTCAAATATCAAGGAGCCTTATTTTTTTTATTCATCGGACAAAATTTTCATACCTGTTCATCTCCTTCTGTTTATTACACCATGATTGGAACGTCATGAATTCTGAATGATTACTTAGAGACCGAAGATATTCAACAGCTCTTGTGTTGTCCAATAGATACGTTTCGTATGATTTTAAGTATTCCTCGATGTTATGGAAACCTTCGTACATCAGTTCTGGTTTCATTCTGGAATAACATTGGTACGTGATTAGCAAACTGCCTGATTCTAGTTATAAAATGTTATAGAAACATTGGTTCTTATCAGTACTTATTATCTTTTTATCTTCTGTCTTTAATTCAAAACATAGCATTGTGACCAAAAAGATAGAAGTAATTTTAGCTTAGTTCAAATTCAATTCTACATTTTTTGGTAATTTAAAATGCTTACAAAATTATATTTAACTACTACTACATTTACAAATGACGTAGGGGAATGAATTTAAAAAATCCTTGTAATTTATATTCATTTTGTTTTCAAATTAATTAAAAACATCTTCATCTTTCCCGCATTTTTCTCAAAAATAAGAACGAGATTTTCGATTCACGTGATGATGGCGATACTTACGGTAGGCCAGTTTCCACGCTCTCCACAATCATGGGGTAGAAAGTGACGTTCCAGAAAACAAGACTGGCATTATATAAGTCCGGTATGTTAGAAAAGAGTTGTTGTGTATCCACTTCCAGCATAAATTGATACTCTTGAAGAGCGTGCGCTGCTGCCATGAATACCTGCAAAATAGCACATATACGACTATATTCTTTTAAAATTTGTATCAGAAATGATATCAAAATTATTTTACACAACGTCTATTATGTTAATTCTTAAGCTTATCCATTTCACTTACTCTTTTGCATGTATTTTATAGACTTATTGTTATAATTGGTCCACTACAGTTTAACTATCGCAATGGTACCCAAAGTTTTAGTGTAAGATATCTACGGGCGTGTTTTATCAAAGGAATCTAGTGTGGCAATTAGTGGGTTAGAAAGAGTGATGTTTTCTTGTTTCAATGTAAATAGAATGATATGATAATAACAGTGGAGTTTACCTCGACAAGAGATTTGAGGTGTCTAATATGATCAGCCTCAGTGGTGATCAGCTCGCGAAGGACAGCCTGCCGCGTCTCATCCGTCGGCGGAATATTGCCTGTAATGGTAAAAAATATCATAAATAATTACAATAGTTAAACTTAGAATTTATTAAAATTGTAACTCTATTTGTACCAACTACAAGATTTCCAACTGTATAATGAAACGACATTTAAATATGTAAACAGATTATAAACGATAAGGCCACGTTAAATTTCTAAATTCGTTTCAGTTTTCGGTCGATAGCGTTAAAATTTTAAATGGATTATTTTACGGACTCAGAAATATGACAGTTTAGATTAAAAAAATAGTAATACGTAATTTATATAGTACATACATATGTGCATTTAAAAAGTTATACGTAAATGTAGAAGAAAGATTTTTAATAGCATTCCTTATATGTGTGGATAGGCGAATAATAAAGAATGATAAGGAGCAAGTCGTTGTAGGCGGAAGATGGATTATTTTTAAGGGAGCTTTCGGCTTGGGCAGCATTTGCACAGGTACTTTTACTGTTTGCGTCCTTTTACGACCAAGAGTAGTTATTCTCTACATTATATTGGATAATGTTAATGACAAGTTTTCAAGTATTCTATAATAAAGCATTCAGTGAAAAACATAGGGTAAATGCTAGAACAAGTTTTAAAAATCAGCTATCGCCTTCTCTTATGTAAATTAAATAGTTTTAATCAAATTATTTCTAAATAGCACTTTGGTTATGAAGACAAATGGAAGTTTTATATACCACCATAATGACCGAAATACCCTATTTTTATACAAGCACTTCCTGTGCATTATATCTAAACCTGCGAATATCGTCGTGGAAGATATTAAGTATACAAACAAGTCTATGTCTCCATTTGATCGATGTGAAATTAAATTGAATGTCAACGATCACAAAATAATATGATATTGTACCATAGGCGCCGCTCTGCTGGTTGAGTTTAGGTTCTGAGAGGGGAGGTAAGTACCATTAAATGTTTTTTTATTTAAAATTAATTGAATACTAGAATAACATTTTGTAAAGACTTTATTTAGTAAAACGAAGGCTATATCAAATCTTACAACTTGTAATAAATCAACTTAATTTTATTAATCGTCTTAAAATTTGAATAAGAAATTTGACCCACAAAAGAGCATACACAAAGAAAAGGCACTTAAGTCCCAAATTGTGGAATTCCATCAAATTAATAACTCAAAGTGCAGGAGATATTTCATTTTAAATGATAGCGTATTTATAATGACGCGGGGGGCTTAGTATAGCCACTACGTGACATGGCCAGCCTAGGTCTCTGCTTATTGTAGCTATTGCTAGTCACATTTATTATTAAGTAACTACTCAGAAATATTATGAATTTTACTAATTTTCACGTATGAATTATTATACTCAGGTGATAATTACTTATGGAGAAAAAAAATCTGCAGTCAATCAGCGACTTTCGCGGTGTTCGACTTTCAGAATAAATTGTCTTTTTTTATATTTTAAAACTGCGTCATACAAAATGTTTAAACGTCTGTAACGTTTATGATGGAACACCACCACATTACCCGATAGTACATATTATGAAAGATAACATATAAATGTTTTGTCTAGAAGCTTTGTTTTCTTCAATAAATCCAGTAAAATGTTATTTAACGCTTACGATACCAATACGTCGAAAACTTGTTACAGCTGCATTTTACTGCGAAAAAGCTCCCGTCTTTACAATTTGCTGTGCAATATTCGATCTTAACTAGTATTGGAATTTAACTCTATGAGCGTTACAATTTGATGAGATATTCGACGGAACAGCCTAATAACAACATACGCACGGATACACTTCGTATTGAAGTCAAAAAGTTCACTGATTGCTCGTACACCCGCCTGTAAATAACCGACACGTACTATTTGTTGTGTGAGTTTGTAAAGTTTTATAGACGTCACGTAAACCGAAATACAAATTCGTATTCAAAAAACTTTAAAGTCAAAAACATGTTTGATTTTTATATTCACTGACGTATACACTTAGTTAAACAAACACTTTTAAATCTGTATCCTCTTGATGGTATTTGTATTTAATTAATTTTGTATGTAAAGCTTTCAAGTTGAAACTCTTGAAAACTGTCCTAAAATTACGAAATAGCATCTCAAAGGACTGAGTACCTACTAATGTTACATGCATTCTAAAGGAGAAATATATTTATATATTAGTCATATCAAAAGGCCAATAATCATTTTCAGTTTCAACTGACCAGTCGAACGTTACAGTTAAAACTGTAGGTCTGTCGCGGACACCGGTGTAATATGGACTGAACACAAGATCTAAAAGTCTTTAAAATTTAACAATGACTATTTATACGGCTTTCTATTATTTGTCATTTTAGAAAGCACTCATTAATTACGTTATCTTTCACATTATCTTCTTCTATCTTGGCCTTTTCCCAGTTATTTGGGATTGGTCTTCCTTGTCCTAAGTCACCAGACAGCACGAATCTTAAAAGCTTGTTCGTCAAGTTTTATTTCTTTCATATCCTTTTACATTATATATACATAATTTTAGGTCACCCTGTGAAAGATAAAAAATGTAATAAATCAATGCTACTTACATCTCTCGTAATACAGCTGTATTTCATCAGGCTGTTCGGCCCAGCGCAGGTATTCCATAGCGTGCTGCGGGATGGTGATAGCTACGAAGCCATGGAGTTGGGGCACCCCGTATATTGAGAATTCGTCGAGCTTGGCCTCCATCTCGGTGTTTGGCTAAAATAATGCAACAAAGATAAACAAATATTTTGTGTATAGTATTATAAACATAGTCGATAAACAAACTAAGTAGGAATATAATAGTCCTCATTTACTAAATACATGATAAGTACAGTCGCGGAAATCCGCGATGTACCGCTTCAGGAAATATTGCCTTGTTCATTGCAACGAAACTAACACTAATTATACAGCAGTGAGTGGTGCAAACTAGGGTTGTAACGGAAGCCATTTTAACGGAAGCGGATGCGGATGCGGAGGAGAAGAGCTTCACCTCTGCAGAAGTAGAGGTTAACGGAAGCGGAAGCGGAGGTTAATATTATAGTTAGCTGACCTAGCACGCCCGCGCGCGCCGCGTAAACAATATGTAATCGCCTCATTCGCGTTAAAGACGTAAATTAACCTCCATTATAACTCCGCATAAGAAATAACGAAAGCGGAAGTGGATGCGGAGTTAATATTACTTACGGAAGTTCCGCACTTGCGGATGCGAAAGCGGAGTTCCGTTATAACCCTTATGCAAAGGATGGGATGGTAATAAAAAGAAATTAACCGTTTATCACTAGCCAACTTTTATGTGGTGTTGTCTGTGTTACTAAATACCATAAGTAAACATTTAGTTGGTTTAAGTAATCAGTGGGTATTAAATTCATGCAGACAAGATGTATGGAAACGATGCGAGTCGTATAATTTGTACAATGAGTCCCATATAAACCTCCAGTTTTCGTGTAGGCAAATAAGAACTGAGGGTCTAACACCATTGAGATACGACGACGAGACGATGGTTTTTTTTTAATATAAAGTGGCAAACGGGCAAGCTGCCACCTAAATCCACCGAAATGGAAAGCGACCGCTACCCATAAACATCCGCAATTGCAGATGCGTTGCCTACCCTTAATTGACGGAGGAGGAGACGCACATAAAGAGGACAAGGAAGGAAGAGGCCTATGCGTCTCCTCCACCGTCAAATCCACTTTAAAGGGCCTAAAATTAGGCCTCCGGCACCACACTCATCAGGCGAAACGCGGAATTGCTTCCACTTCACGTCTATATTTTTTGTGGTCGTGGCATTTCACGGGGCAAGCCGGCCTATTCCGGCCTAAGATGTTAAAGCGGGCTATACCTCTGTGTGGAACGCCATTACGACTTACAACTACAAGAATTTTACAAAGCAGTTTTACGTCAACTAAGTTCTCGGTTCTCGATTTATATTTTTGTATTAAAATCATGGAATGAGTCATACTTATTAATTATTATTGTTCATCGTAGATAATTAAGTTTCTGTGAGGCGACCATGATTTAAAATAAGGGAAATGTTGCGTGATTCTATTCTCAGATCTACGAGTATTTCGGTATCCACTGGCAATTATAAAGTTTCTGAAAGTAATCATAGAATGAAGCTCAAAGATTTAACGCTGTTTTTGCGAACAATGTACCCCTTTTTCAAGTTCACGTTAGGTTTCGGTTTACAAATATTGACCTTACAGAAGTGACCTTTGCATTTGACATTTGTCGTATCGTAAGGAAGGTCTCGTGGATCGAATAGGCGGTTATGCACCGCTTTTAGTCTAATCGCGTATCAGTATCACATTTACATTAATAAATAATAACTAACAGCATTATTAAAACTATCCCAGCAATTATTGTTTCGATGACGTTGATCCGATGGCGATAATCATTTACGAGATATATGCAGGCATAGATTTAAAACTATCAAAGGTAATTTGTTTAGTCCCAATATCTGTCTCCTTCGTTCAAAATCTAACGTCTGTGAAAAAGTCTGTCCTATCTGATAAATGTTAAAGTATGTACTCGTAACATACTTCATTATTATATGACCAGACGGCTATTTATAGCCGCTTCATATTTCAACCTATTCTTTTAAGCATCGTTGAAATTTTGTCGATGTCCCCTGTCCATGACTGTGCCTTTTTAATTTTCCTTTACGCTTGTTTACTATCGTTTTTCCCTCAGACATTACACTCGGTTTAATTTTTATGTATATATATTTTAATGTAACATCGCGTTAATATACGTACTAAGCGTGTTAACATAATTTCAAATCTATGAACCGTTGACAAGTTATTAAGGGAGAGTTTATAGTATTTTGTATTACCAAAATTAATTACATGCGTATAGATTGACGCTGTTTAATCATAAAATAATGTCTTCCTGCGCCGAATATCAGCATACTGAAATTTCTAATATAGTGTTTTAATAACTAAGTTGTCTTAAGTTTTGTTAATGAATTTAAGTAGTCTATTACGTAACTAAGCTAATGTTAATATTAATTGTTAAAATAATTGGATCAACAAATGGTAAGTTTCGGGCCAGTGTTTGTATATAACTTAAGTTCGAAGTGTGTGTTGTTACCAAAATAAACGTTTACACTTAAATATTAAATAATTTACATCAACTGCTATTAGCAACCGCATAGAGCTCGAGCGTGCCGTAAATGCTATTAACTATAAATACTATACCGGTGCCTGGAGATGGCTGACTGAATAATTAATAATTCACAAAAAAAAAACTTAATATATCTTTTCTAAACATTCTTATTTTTACTGTTGTTTCTTTTTTCGTCTTCTTCTGTCTTTTTGTCGTATTAGAGACACTAAATACTATAAGCAATACGAAAAAGAGTTGATTACAAACAAGATGGCAGTAAGCCAAACCTCGCCGGTCACACAATGTTGTAGAGCAGGCCAGCATGCTGAAATACAAGTCATACTAACTAACTAAGCATGTCAATTTTTTGCTAAAGCACTAAAGGTACAAAGGCCTTTTACGAAAATTCTGTACTGATTACGAAAAACTAGAGTTGTCGTGCGGCTTTTTTGCTCCAAATTACCGAAAAAGCTTTGGCGGAGTAAAGCCGGATCCATACTTTCAGTTTTATCCGACAGTTAAATCGTTAACTTAATAGTTTCACAATGTCCAAGTAATGGATAAGTAACAAACAAATAAATAACCACATAAAACTTCAAATAGCCGTTTCACAGCATTTTTCAAGCTAGTGAAACGGCATCCAGGATCTACTTGGACATTGTGAAAATTGCACTAAAACATAAATGTGTAGTGAAACTGTACAGTTCACAGTTATGCATACACCCGTAAGTTTTAACTGTTCAATCCAACAGTTAAGTTAAAACTGAATTTACGTAGTGGACTTGATACTTTGGCGTATTATTTGCATTACAGAATATCAATGATGGTACAAATTAGCAAAATCATAAAAAATGACGAGGTCTAATTACAACGATTTCTATCTACCTGTTAAATTAAAGCAAGCAATCGCTCACAGATACTGCGCGGCTGCTATACGCCGGCGATAGAATGCCGGGTAGCTTGAGTATGTTCCTATGAGACCCTATGTTAGTCGATTATATAAACCTTTTATTTTAAAACTTCGTCACAGTAAGTACTTCACTGTAAAAGTGCATAGATATTATTGATTTACTCCAATCGATAATAAAACTTAACTAAATCAAAGTGTGATAACACTTGCGATTGTTTAATTATTATTTAATACTAATAATTAAGTTTCTGTATGTAAGTGCAAGGACTTAATAAGAGTAAAAACTACCAACATTGGAAGCCTAAACAATTGGTTTTTAATACATACAATAGAAAAATACAAATTATCAAAACTCAATTCGTAAAATAAGATGTAACGCAATAAAAGTAAAGCTAAAACTGAATATGTCTAGAGGGATATGGACACTTTTTAAGGCAAATAAATTACTGTATAATTCTATTCTGTATTCGTTCGTTAGGATTACTCGTGCTAATCGATTCTGACTTGCAAAGAGTTTATCAGCATTAATGTGGAAGAAACCTAAAGCATACATTTCAATTATACTCACGTAAACTTCTTTAATCTGTGCAAGGTTTGACAAAAAAACTAAAGCATGTCTTGCCTTGTTCAAGATGTGTGAAAACTTAAAGCAAGATTCGCGCTTGGGATGTTTAAAAACTGTTCTAAAAAAGATAAAACGTCACGATTTTTAAAGATGTTTTAAAATCTTTTAAATATTGTAAACAACTCTTTTAAAAGATGTTTTGTATAAAAATAAGTTTTTCGTACAATGTCGAAGTTTTGTTATAGTTTAGGAATACTTTTGGATTTAAGTTTGTTGAACGAAACAAAGTATTGAATAAGCATCATTTGATAGTTATTAATAAGTTAATTATGCGCTCGACCTTCGCCGGTCATGTGATATAGCGATGAGGTGTCGCACATATACAAATATTATTCTTTACACTCAATTGTTGGCCTATTAATATGTTCAGTTCCAAAATGTATACATTTTAGAATATAGAAACCAAGTAACTAGGTGTGGTCGATAACCGCTGTTAAGAGTACATTCGCATGACAGTACATTTTGACATTGGTAGAGCCTTAATATTTTCGCTCGAATGGATCGGCTCGCCCGGTGTAATAAATACCACGACCACACAGAACATAGGCGTGAAGCGGAAGCAATTCCACGTTTCGTCTGATGAGTGTGGAGCTAGAGGCCCAATTTTAGTCCCATTTGACGGTGGAAGAGACGAATAGGAAAGGGAAATATTCTCTTTATGTGCGTCTTCTTCTCCGTCGGTTTAGGGTAGACAACGAATCTGCAATTGCGGATATTTATAGGCAGCGGTCGCTTCGCCATTTTGGCGGATTTAGGTGGCCGCTTGCTCGTTTGCCACCTTACTGTATGAAAAAAAAAAACGATTGCATTTTCAAAGTCGCTTTAATACAAACCCTTTAAAATGAATCTTGTTCCCCGGCACTCAAAATGCATCACTGTGCGATAAAAAAGCGTCGTGTTTTAAAATCACAGCCACAGTTACAGTTTCACATTTGACAGTTACATAGAAGTGCATTTGTTCTATTTAAACGCTTTTTTAACGCGCGTTATAAAAGCGCTTGTTATAATGGAGGCCGTTACTACATGTTCTTATTATTGTATTTTTTCTAAGCACCTATTAAAGAACTTGGTTCCATT